CTGAGCTACAATCACCCAGGAGACTCAGGAGTGAAGCTGCTCTCTGCTGTACTGGAGGATCCCAGCTGTAAACTGGAGAAGCTGAAGTGAGTACAGAATATGCTTTTTACATCCATCCATATACCCATCTTCCAGCTGCTTATCCTGGACAAGGAGCCTGGATCTTGTCCCATACAGTATAGGGTGGAAGGGAGGGTGACACCCTGGGCGGGATACTGGTCTGTCACAGAACACACACTGACTCACAGCACAGGTAATTTAGAGACACCAGTTAGCCAAACTGCATGTCTGTGTGAGGAAACTGTAGCACACAGAGAATAGACTTGGAACATGGAGAAAACCACCCTCACAGCAGAGAATCAGGAGGATTCAAACCCCAAACCCAGGAGGTGCTGCCCACTGACTCATTGTGCTGTGTTCGTGGGACCATGTTATTCTAAATATCTGTTAGTTTAGGCCAGTCAGGCTTAATCCCTGCCAGTTATGGGGTGTCAAAGCTTTTTTTCCTGGTAATTAATTTGATATATTTAGGACAATTGCCCCATAAACTAAGCTAGACATAAGCCAGGCTGGAATGAGAAATAGCACAGCCTGACAGGCCTGCATTGGCTGCTGGGGATGTTCACATCTCCTCCTTTCAGAGTTACTAGTCAGTTTGGGGACACCTGGCAGAAAGATGGCTGATGACTGCAGGAACAGAGACACACAGGAAACCCGGGTGCAGAATAATGCCACTGAATGGCAGCTTTTTATCAGGAACAGGGAGAACAGAGATGGAGGAAAAGGGGGAGGTGCTGAAGGCCTGTTTGGTCTGGGGGTCCAGGCCAGTCACTGGTCCCAGTCAGGCCGTAGCTTTGGGCACGACAGCACTGGACTTTTGACGGGTTGCTGCCAACTGTATTTTGTCTGGAATTTTGTGATTTCCTTTCTGCAGGCTGTCAGGCTGTAGAGTCACAGAAGAAGGCTGTTCTTCCCTGGCTTCAGGTCTGAGGTCAAACCCCTCACTCCTGAGAGAGCTGGACCTGAGCTACAATCACCCAGGAGACTCAGGAGTGAAGCTGCTCTCTGCTGTACTGGAGGATCCCAGCTGTAAACTGGAGAAGCTGAAGTGAGTAGAGAATATGCATTTTATGTCAGTTCAAGTCAAGTTTCTTTGTAGAGCACATGTTCATACACCAAAGTCATTGAAAGTACTTTCTGGAAAAGATGATAAGAAATAAAGTGTGGGAATAAAAATGGAAAAAAACAATTAATACAACATAAACATTTAATAACAGTTTAGGAATTATTAGCTCAGGTAAATTTTAATATCTCCACCAATATGTTTTGAAGTTAATTCAATTTTAATTAATTATTATTTAATGCTGATTATTAACCAATTGTTATGTCAATTGGTCGGCTCCTCCAAACTCAATTGCAGAATTCCCGTGAGTCTGTTAATGTGAGACTTAAATGGGATTCACTAATTACCAGTATCGCTTAGTAACCTGGGTTAGAAGGCTCGTCCAGCGAGCTGCATCACCAGGTAATGTAAACGATTGGTAGCGAAGCTCCCCTCACGGCCGATGAGAGAGAGTCTCGCGATGTTTCAGGCGAGTTTGAGGTTTCAGAGCATGTTGCAAGATCACACATAGGCAGGGACTTATTGTGGAACACTCAATGACCGAGGCTGATGTTGTGTAAAAGACATGCATTTATTCCTAGCTAACACTACAACTAACATAAGACAGACATTACCGCTAACACAAACAACAAACACGAAATAACGGAATAAAACAAACGATGTAATTATGAAAATGCAATGACCAGATTTAAATGAGTAACCTTAAATGGGAAATACTGTTCTGTAAAGCAAGCACAGTTTGTGGAAACACGACCCTATGCTGAAAAAAGAGAATTGTTGGACCAACTTAAAAAAATTGCTTCAGTTTGTAACACACAAATGAATTAAGTTTTTTCAAATCAAGTTAACAAGTGTAATGAACCCATTTGCTTTAAGTTAGGTGTACTGAATAATCTGATTACATTCCAAATCAATAGTTTTTATTAATGCAACTGAAATTTTAGACAAGTCAACTTAAAGTTTGCAGTTTTTATAACACAGTTATTTGCTTTATAGAAAAGTAAAATACTGCACCATAACAAACTATAGTATGATTTCAAGAAGTCTTTTTTGTATACTTGCATTTACTACATTAAATATATTTAAAATACCAATGAAATGCATTTACTAAAAATATTTAATACAATCTTTTTTCAGATTTTATTATGCACAACCATATAAATGACTTCTTTGTCCATTTCTCTAAACGAAACATGCACTAAATGCATATTTAGAATAGATATGACAAGAAATGTTCATAACTATGTTGATTTAACAAGTTTGTCAAAATTCCACTGAGCAATAGCTAGTACATTTTAAAAAGTGCATAACAGTTGGGCTATAAACAAAATTCTTTCAAACAAAAATACCAGTTTTTACAGCAGGTGAATATTATACAACTAAACAGTATAACTGAATATTGGATGGAATTTTTCTTTCCCATCATTACAATTTAGAGCAGCAAAACAACTCTCCCATTTTCCTGGCAGCCAATGGTTTCAGTTCCAGACAACAGTTGATTTATTTTCAATTTCTAAACCAAAATGAATACAAAATGATCAATGAAGAAAATAACAGACAAAATCCAAGTTATGTTTTTTCTGCAAAATATTTTCATTCATTATGCGTTATTATTGTAATTCACATGTGTTCACAACATTTTGATATTTTATGTATACATAAAAGTTGGTCCAACAATTCTCTTTTTTCAAAGCAATTTTTTTAAGTTGGTCCAACAATTCTCTTTTTTCAGTGTAAAGTCTTATAGCAGGTTAACAGAACAGCTTAAGTTGTTAGAATAAGAGGAAGTTGGTTTACTTGGTTGCAGAGCAGGGGGGAGGGGGGAGTCTTGGCAGTTGGTTGCAGAGGCTGATGAGCTGATGGGATGATGGCACTCAGGAAGGCGCAGCGTTTGGAGCAGTGGAGTGAAGCCCCTTGGATTCTCTCTCCTGGTGAAGCTTTGTCTTGGTTGCAGTTCTCTGTCCAGCTGGGCCTTCACCGGAGGGCTTCTTGTGGGCTTCTCTTCTCCTGGGCTGATGTTCTCCGCCTCTCCTCGGGCTGATGGTCTTTCTGCTCCTCTTGAGCTGATGGGCTTTCCTCTGCTCCCTGATGATCTTTCTGCCCACCTTTGTTCTGAGGTGCCAGGTTTTTATGGTCTAAAGTTCATGAATAGGGATGACCAGGAATTCGACTCCTAGACCAATGGCTGGCCATCCATTTGGCGGGCTTTCGGAAGGGGGTCTGTATCAGTCCTTTTGGGATTTATGGCCCGACTGATTCTCCCTTTACTGATGATTTTCATTAAGCTGGTATAACTTTTGATACATCCACTTTTATGGTAATCACTGACCAGTTTTGGAATCAGGAGTGATTGTCCATCAGTTTTACACCAAACATGCCATACCAGCTTCACAGGTTCACACCTCATACCATCTGTTTTAACTGATTAACAATTACTTATATTATGTATGTGACTGACTCACATCAGTATATGACACACTTTGTGCAGACATTACATCAAATATTCATATTACAAACAGCACATCTTATACATAGATAGGCATGACCGTTAGTTTGTGGTAATATCAATATAAGTTGCACATCTGGAAACAACATATTTTATTTGGTGTGGCTTATCCCAATTGATCTTCTCCAGAATGGATAAGGTACACCGTAATTCAGTTCTTTTAATATAGCATGGTAGAACACCATGCTATAGCTTGGTAACGGACCAAGATCAGATAAGGACCACAAAGGAATGTTGGAAGAGAAGGAGGGGGGGGGGTTGTTAAAAAAAGAAAGAAGAATCTCTGAAAGTTAGGACACACTAGGATACCTGGTTAGACTATTCAACTTTTCTTCTGGTATAACCATGAGAACATATATGCAGGGGTAGCTAATACCTACTTATTTATTCAAATTTATATAAGTCTTCAAGTGTAAAGGGGTAAAATAGGTGATACTCTGTGAACATGGTTATAAGGGTGGCACACAAAACACTAAGATTGTCTAAGGACACATACAAACATAAGACTGGTAGTCATAAGTAAATCAATATACAGGGTATACAAAAGCCAAACTTAAATGACACTTTCTTTAGGGTGTTGGTCTGTTGGGTGAGTGGTATGCAAGGCAGGATGTCTGGGGAGGGGGTTGTGTGCCAAGTCGAGGGACCCCTGTCCATTAGGTCCACTCTGCTGTCTGTAGGTCCCTAAATCTTTGGGCAATAAAAGCTGGAGTGCTGGCCTCCCTTGTTATCTGTGTGTGTGTGTGTGTGTGTGTGTGTTATGTTTAAGTGTGTTTATGTGTGTGGGGTCACTAACCCCCCTTTGGTGCCTAGGCTAATGTTTACCTCTCATACCAGGCTCAGCCTTGTCTCAGGCCACCTGGAATTTAAGCTCTGTGATATGTGCATGTGTGATCCTACAACAGATATTATAAGTGACCATCAGTTACGATTACACAGTCGACCATTGAGCTGCAGCCTGGGTGCTCTGGTGCCAGGTGCCTTATAAACACCCTTATGCTGAATACAATGTTTGTTATGGACAGACTGTGGTTCGCACAGGAGTCCAATAACAGAGCAGCACTCGGGTTGAGATCGGCCAGGCCGCTCCTCCCAGTCACACCCCTCCCAGTTACAGGTTTCACTGTCGCTACCAACAGGTTTCATTAAACTCCCCCAGCAGAACACTGCAGTCTCCAGAGGGGGTGTCTTCCAACTCCCCATTGAAGATCTCCAAAAAGAACCCACTGATCTAACACTGTACTGTCATGGATAACCTCCCTCAGGCGTTACCCACTGATCTAACACCATACTGTTATGGATAACCTCCCTCAAGCGTTACCCACTGATCTAATACCATACTGTCATGGATAACCTCCCTCAAGCGNCCACTGATCTAATACCATACTGTCATGGATAACCTCCCTCAAGCGTTACCCACTGATCTAACACCATACTGTCATGCATAACCTCCCTCAAGCACCAGTAAATAAATGGATACAGCAGCACTATGTCATTCTGCTTCTCCTGTAGTGTGGACCACAGTGGAGAGTGCAGGACCAGACCAGGCTTACAGAAATGTAAGTGTGTTTGCAGGCTGTTACTTTGTATTTTTATTTACCCGTTAGTTTAGCACGTGCGGTGTTTTGGCGGCTCTTCCCACCGTCAGCCGACATTTCCTGAAGTATTTCACAGACAGGGAGCCCCAGGTTACGGTGTCTTTATGTTGAGTTTAATAGGTAAGTCAGAAACATAAATGCAGTACACAATAAATAATGGTAAATTTATTATTAATGTTACTATTATACAGTAAAAATATAAGTGAATACTGTATTGCACCTTGAGCTGACAAGCGCGTGCCTTCGTTATTACGGACCATTGTATTTAACCCAAATTTTAATGTAACAGGATTCATGGCAGTCCGTCCATAAGTACGAGCTGTCTGTAAGTTGGACGTTCTTAACTCAGGGGCTGCCTGTAACTGAATTCCCATTTCGTTCAGGGAAGCTGGGCTGTTTTGTATCATATAGAAAATAAAGTACAGGCTAAAGCTCGGCCTGATGGTCTTAGTGGCTGTTCCTCCTGCCTACAGACTCCTACCAGCTGACACTGGACTCCAACACAGCAAACAGACACCTGTCTCTGTCAGAGGGGAACAGGAAGGTGACAAGGGGGGCAAAGCAGCCATATCCTGATCATCCAGAGAGATTTGACCTCCAGCCCCAAGTTCTGTGCAGAGAGAGTCTGACTGGCCACTGTTACTGGGAGGCTGAGTGGGATGGATATGGAGCCCGGATAGGAGTGACGTATAAAGGGATCAGGAGGAAAGGAGGGAGGGACTGTCTGCTTGGAGCCAATGACAAGTCATGGAGTCTGAGCTGTGATCCTGACAGCTACTCTGTCTGTCACAATAATAAACAGACTGTCATACCCATAGTGCCCTCAGATTCCCACAGAGTAGGAGTGTATCTGGACTGGGAGGCTGGTGTTCTGTCCTTCT